TCGATCCAAAACTATTAGGTAGTGTTGCTCCTTTTATGAATTGACAGAAATGTTTTCGATTAATTGGTTTGAAAGAGTAAGAAGCATGTGCTAGTATTTCTTTCTTCTCATTGTTGTCTTTCTTCTTGTTGTTGACTTTCTCTTTTAGCCATTGATATGGCTGAGTGCTCATTTTTTCAAGTCATCTCTTGCTCCTTTTGTGTCTTTGGCTTTTTCCTTCATCATTGTAGTATTCAACACACTCTCACTCACATTTTTCTCCACATGCATAACATCTATATTGTGTTTTAGGTCGACGGAATCCCAATACTCAAGCTCGAAGAAGATACTATTTTTCGTCCACTTCAACTCTTTTTTTTTCTTTTATCGTCGTAGCTTCTTTTTTCTTTCATGGAGACGAGCTAGTTTCTTTAGTATAGTTGCATTATTGAATCATCTTGGATGCACTCTTGTCTCAGGTTGACCATTAAACAATAGACTATGCCTCCAACTATGGTTTATATACAAGAATTGTCTGTGACCAACATAAGACATCTTGTCAGTCACATGAATGGAAGATGTGTCTTCGTTACTAGTAGGCATGCTAAATAACATTGACGACTTCATACAGACAAAATGATATGTGTTGGGAAATCATTGACAGTCCATAACATCGCATGTATATTGAATACAATGATGGTTGATGTATCTCACATTTGGACTCCTTCCACCCACAACATTTTCAACTCATCCACCAAAGGCCTCAAGAAAGCATCAATGTCCTTTAAGGGTGATCTAGGGCTAGGAATCAACAAAGTTAACATGAAAAAAGTCTCTTTCATACATATCCATGGTGGTGTATTAAAGGTATTCAGTATAACCGACAAAGTACTATAAGTACTATTAAAGTTTTCGAATGGAATAAAGCCATCAACATCCAAACCTAGATTAACATTTATAGGTTCTATATCAAACTCTAGTTATATATGATCAAAATATTGCCATGAGTTCTCATCAACCGGATGACGCATGATATCATCCACTGAGCATCCAATATTATGACAACTTTGTGATACTGGAGTTATACATTTTTCAAAGCCTTGGACTCAAATGAAAGTATCGCAACACTTTTTGTGGTACTTTCTTCCCCTTTGTGCATGCATCCATCTAATCTCCTTTGAAATCAGGCAACATAGAAACATTTTCTTCCAAAACAAAGTACAATCATTTTTACAAGCGAGGATGGATTGATATCCTAACCCTATCTTTCTCAACTTTTTCTTAGCTTCATAGTGTGAGATTCTTCGAGAAAGCAACTCTTAGTAACTCTACAAGTTAGTTAAACAAACAATCTATATGTGACATCCCAACTTTCACGGCCAATTAATTTTTTTTTATTTATGCTTATTTAATTCATAGTATTCCTTCATTTGTGCGAAATTTGTCCCAAAACGTTATTTTAACCGAAGCATCTCTTTCAGCTAATTCTCAATTTATTTATAAAGTTATATTTTTAAAACCCAAATAAAAGTTATAACTCGTTCATACGGATTATGTTCTCAACTATCTTTATATTTATGAAATTTTATTTATGAGATCTTCAACTCTCGTTTAGATTGTTTTAGCAAACAAGCAACCGATTTTAGTTTCAGTTTCTGTGTTGGCATTATTGCGCCAAAACTTTAAAAAATCATAACTTCCTCATATGAAGTCAAATTTGGACGTTCTTTATATGCACAACTTCTCTTTTATGATTACTACGACTTTCTTTTAGATTACTTAGGCTAACAAGCAACCTATCTCCGATTCACTATTTACGACACACTTTGTCGTATAGGTTTGAATGTGAAACTTCAAGGGATCGTAACTTTTTCATACGAAGTCAGATTTATGTGTTCCTTATATCCCTGAGATCATTATTATGACTACAACATCTTTACGTATTATTATTTACTATATCTTGAATGAATATACTGAATTCACGGGCGTTACTATTGAGGTCGAAAGTAGTTGTGAGATGTCAAAATATGTCTAGATCATTTCAAATATCGAAAGCGAGTTTGTCTGTTTATTATAAGGTCATTGTATGTTTCAAAAATGTAATGTTTATTCCCTTATTTTTTTTTTGTATGCTTTCCTTATCCCTATAAATATGGGATGAATACTAGAGTTAGAGGGTAGCTTTGCTTTTACGACTTGTACTATATAATATTTCTCTGTATTTTTTTGAAAGCATAATCAAGCCAACCAAATTATATTTAGATATTGTGATCTGAATTCTTTCATTACTCTGATATGGTATTACATACTCGATTCAATCACTTCTACAGTTACAATTATCTCCGTTTTAGGATGATTACGTCCCAGAATCATCATCAAAATAGGTCTAGATGATGATCCCGCAGGTCACTTTTCCATCGCAAGCTATAATTGTAACTTATATGCCTTCCTCATAAAGTTATTTATAATTATAAGTTGCTGTTGTTTCTCAAACTTGTGCCTGGTCTTCATTCTTTATTGGACCTTCAGTCCTAACCTTTGAATTACACCCTATTTAAACCTTGTGATAACCTCACTAGGTCACGTTTAGACAACCTCCATCCCTTTTTGTCTAGAAAATCGAGACCTAAGTGAGATATTGAAAGCTTGAACCTTAAAGTGTGGTTTTTGGTGCTTTGTAAAGGATAAGAAGAAGTGAATAATTTGGAATGGTGCTTAGAGCTTGAAGATATGAGATTTGCTCTTCATTTGCTTTCCTTGTTAGGTAAAAAGCTTCCATCTTGCTAGTCCATAATGTTAGATCTAGTCTGGTGCCATTTTTTTAGCTCTTTGAGTCCATGGTTTGATTATTGATCCTCTTGCTTCACTCCATAAGTGATTGTTAGTAGATCTAGGACCCTTTTGCTCTCTTTGTCCATAAAAATGCAATCTTGAAGGTGTTTTTGGTCTCATGCATGTATTAAGTCATTTTTTAAGCTCTTTTGAGCTTTAAGAGCCTCATTAAGCCATGCATGCACGTAAAGTTGGCAACTTTACTTGATAAACCACCTTAAGAAAATCAGATATGAGTTTGGGCTAGAGTCTTAATCGATTAAGAGCTAAAAAGTGAAGGTTGGCCAAGATGGTGGAGTACGTTAGGCGAACAAGCAAGTACACCGCGCGTACAAGCCCTTAAGCGTGTACGCTGAGCGTACGAGCCGAGCACGCCCTGCGTACTTAGCAGTGGGCTTCAATTTTGTGGGTTCCTCGACATTGGGCCATGGTGGACTTTAGTTGTCTTGTGCCTTGTTGGGCCATCAAAATTCTACTTTTGGGTTGTTAATATTTTGTTGGACTCTTTTGGTTGAAGGCCCATGAAAGGGATTTGGGCCCAATCTGGAAAATTAGGCCATATTGGGCTTTGAGTGATTATTATGGAGATTGGGCCTTTGGACAATTGGATTGGGCCAAGTTAGGGAAAAGGTAAAAAGGCCTTTTAACCTAGTTTGGACTCTTAGTGTGGGTCGGGACCCAATTATTGATTGGATATTATTTTGTGATTGATAGTGCGAAGATTTTAGCGGACCAACATTTAGAGATTTATATGTGACATTCAACAGTGTGAGGTAAGTATCCTCCCTGTACTTAGTGGGTCGAAGGCACCAATTCCGACTCATGATTATTTATGATAGGATGATAGATGTCTGCGTGACTCTTGCATGTGTTATGTGCTGATATGTATACCTAGCAAGACTCGATGATTGTATTGTATGATATTGGTTTGTGGACATGACATGTGTTAACATGATTATATGTTTTATGTTTATATGTTGTTATGTGTACCGGGCGGGGCCCGATGTCTGGTGGGGCCTAATGAATGACAGATTTGTAAGCCGAGCGGGGTTCGATGTCAGGCGGGACCCGAGGCCAAGTGAGACTCGATGTCGGGCGGGGCCCGATATGTGCTTATTATGTATGGTATGAGGTATTTTGGGCAACTCACTAAGCTTTGGGCTTACGGTTTACAGTTTATGTTTCAGGTACTTCAAGATCGAAAGGGAAGAGCCCGAGATGATTGCAGATCACACAACACCTTTTTCCGCACTTTGAGATTTACTCTGATATGTTTTGGTGTTGTAACATACTTTGATCTTTTGGGGTTGTATGGCAATGTTGGATTAATGCTTTTATTAAATCAAAAATGAAAATTTTAAGTCTTATTTTTGGGACGTTTCATTTGGAGTTGTAATTGGAACAAATGCTCTTACTTGAAAATGAAAATTTTGATTTGAATTTTGGGACATTACAATCATTGCCTTTTTCAGATACCTCTTTTTGTCAGCTACCCCAACACCGCCTTCGAACTCAGACAATTGGTTCCTGTTGAAATTGATGGAGGAAGATACAAACCTGATGAAATAAATTAAGCCCTAGAGGTTGTTGTTGGTTTTTGATGAAATACATGGAGGCAGAACTGATTCGTGAGGTGTAGGTGAGTGAGCTTATATTGGTGGAGCTCATAGATGCGAAGCTTGTAGAGGAAGGCGACAATGGAGATGCTGCTTCCGGTTTAGGTCAAATATCAGTGATGAAGCTTAAATACGGGTTACAGTTTAAGATTTTGATTTGGGTTGACGATTTAGGTCAAACAATAGTGATGGTGCTGGACAGAGAACGTGAGGGTGATGGGTGTGGGTATGTTATTTTATTTTTTCTAATTACAAAATTATAAACAAATAATAAATAAAAGAACATTATGACCAAAATCGAAACAAAAACAAACTATAAGGATTTGTCCGAGTACAGAAAAGCATTAAGGAAAAGCATATAATATTGACAAACTATAAGGACTATTTTAGTAATTAAGGTTTTGATTTGGGTTGACAATTTAGATCAAACAATAGTGATGGTGCTGGACAGATAACATGAGGGTGATGGGTGTGGGTATGTTATTTTATTTTTTCTAATTACAAAATTATAAACAAATAATAAATAAAAGAACATTAGGGACCAAAATCGGAAATAAAAAAACAAACTATAAGGATTTTTCCGACTACAGGAAAACATTAGGGAAAAACATATAATATTGACAAACTATATATTATATATTGATGAGCGAACACAATAAAAATGTGGGTTCTCCAAAAGTCTTTGTTTTTAGGGTTTCACAATCGGTAAAGTCCTCGATCGGTTCATTCAAATTCAAAATCTCAATTATTCGGAAGCGGTATGGGTGACGAATCTGGTTTCATTTACGATCTTGTCGAGGAGATGAAGAAGAGGAGCATTGAAGATTCTGATAGCAGCTGTCGAGGTAATAAAGATTGCATTTTTATTTGTTAATTCGTTATAAAGGTTAATTGAGTTTGTTATAGCTTGTTGATTCTTTCAACATATGGATCGTGTTATAGCCTGTTGATGATTAAAGAGGAAACGGAGGTGGTAAGACGAAGAAGAGGAGCAGAGCCGTTGAGGTAATAAAGATTGGATTTTTATTTGTTAATTCGTCATAAAGGTTCCATCTTTTTTTTCCCCCAATCTATGCAAGAAATTGGAATAAATTAATAAAGTGTTGGTAACAAATTAAGTTTGTTTGCATAAATTGTAAGAAATCGATTTATTGTTTTTAGGGGTGATTGGATAGGGAAAAAATAGGCTGCTAATTGCTTAATCGCACCGCAATAAGCAAATTTAAGTGTTTGGATAGGAGGCTTTAAAAATCAGCTTATTGCGGTAGGAATAAGCAAAATAAGCTGATTTTAATAAGCAAGGGAATCACTTATTGCTTATTGGTCATTTTATTCATATAAGTTGTTTTATTTTGCCAAACACTTAAATGCTTATTGCTTATTCTCACCGCAATAAGATAATCCAAACACAATTTTAAAAAAATGTTTATTCTCACAACAATAAGCAAATGAGCAATTAGCTAATAAGCTAAAAACTATTTATCCAAACACCCTCTTAGGGGGTGTTTGGATTAGCTTATTGCTTATAGCTTATTTGTGGTGGCAATAAGCAATAAGCATGGGGAGGGATGCTTATTAAAATTAGCTTATTTAGCTTAATAAGCTGGATTTTATCCAAACACTAAAATTAGCTTATTGTGGGAATAAGCAATAAGCACCAATTTTTTTCCTATCCAAACACCCCCTTAGTTGATGCGGAAAAAAAAATAGGGTCAAATGTGCGAAGGAAGGCCTGCTGAAGATCTGAAGCAAACAGCTAAGAAATGTTTGGTATAAAAGTATACATAAAAAAAGATGGAGTCCAACTTATTATTCTAGCAAAAGAAAGAAGTAAAGTTGTTAAACCGAATGATATATTTGTCCCTTGACACATAAAAAAAACATCATGTAAATCGGCGAGTTCTGGTAAATTAGCAGGAAGTCAATATTATATATTTATATGAAGAAGCTTGACAGATTTTGTGAAGCTCTTTGTATCCAAACATGTAAAACGACAGCTATCCTATCACTTCCACCTCTAATACCAATTCCACCACTTTGAGTTTTACTTGAGTTGTATCAGTGTCAAATGACGGAATCACCCTCACATGCTCACCTCACCTTGTAGCTAACTCATATGATCAAGTTGAGCTTTAACCTCATCTATCTCTGACGTTACTTACAGCATCATGCTTGCGATTCAGATCATCAAATAACTCACATTTTTTCCTTACTTGTGTTTTTGACCTTTTGATATCACTAGTCCAGTTATCTTCTTTGGCAGAATGAGAAGTTTTCAGTAGTGAAATTTCGGATATTGACTGATTAATTAGGTTGTTTAGTTGTGATTTAAATGTGGAGTTGTTCCAAGTTCAATAATTTTTGGCTGAAATTTCATCATTTCTTCTCCCATTGTTTCAGTGTTTTAAGATTAGACTAAAAAATAATAACTTGCTCTTGTAGCTCAACCACCTTTAGCTTTCCCAGCTTCAAGATGGGCATTTTGGGTTCTCATGCTTCAACCTTGTGCTAAAGTTTGAAGCTGAATTTGTCTCTGTTTAAGTAACACATCGGTTTCTTTACCTTTGATGCATGGAATTTGGATTTTCATGCAGAATAATATAATGCATGTTGAGTTATGCACTAAAAAAGTGTCTCATGATCTAAATGTATGTTAATGTGTTTAGTGTTTAAACCTTTCCAACATATTGGTATCTTGCTAAGGCATGATATGTAAGTTTTGAACCTTTTACTAACTTTAATTAATCTATTATCTGAAATCAGGTAATACTTTTATTACACCAATCATTTTATTCCTCTAAATTGGTAGTAAGCTTGACCTGGTAGTGAGTTTCGTGTAGCATATGAAGAAGCAATTAAATATGGTAATGTAAGATCTTAGACCCTTATTATTTTTTAATGTCCCAGCTTATATATATATATAGCCACTATAAAATATAAATATAGTGGTTTCTTTAAGGAAAGATTCAGCCTTGTCAGTTTGCATACTACTAAAGTCAAGATCAAATCAATTGTAAAGATTTTTTCAATTCCATAACTTAACATCTTTAAAGTTTTGTGATAAATCAGGTAACCAGATGATGATGATGATGATATAGGTCCAAGATTGACTGTGTTCATCACATCGAACAGCTAAACCCCCATTTTTGCAAATGTTTTGAGGCTGCTGTGGTAATGGCCCCTATATCGCCCCTCTACATCGCTGTTTACCTTGCCACCTTCTTAGAATATCTCACAAAAAGTCAAAAAGTTGAGTTCAACTGAGCAAAGTAATGGTTTCTTCTACAGATTGAGGTGAATGTGTGATATGGTCTTACCTTTTTGTTTACTTTAGTTTTAATGATCTTTTACTTCTTTATTTAAGTTCAAGTATCACATTGACTTATAAGCTCCCAACTCATCAACTTATTACATATCTATGTCCACATCAGCAATAGACTGTATAAGATATCAGAATCAATAGGTCAAAAATGATATTTTTTTTTCCAGCTTTCAGAACTTCATCAGTTAATCGTACATGCAGCAGAAGCACTGGAAAACGGACCTAGATTCCATCTGGATCAGACTCCAATTAAGACGTTCCTTCAATCCAAGTTCATCCATCAGTAGTAAGAATTCTGATTCAAAGTCTAATTCGTCTTATCTTGTAACAACTCTGCATTGGCTCTATCACCATTATTTTATAGACAAAGGCATGTGTCTCACCACTGATTCAAGAGGAGAATTGATTGTACCTGCAATCTCTTTGCCATCTATTGATAACTCGGGATAAACCCAGGTGTAAGATGAAACTACTCTTCTCTATTGAGATTGCTACATCAACGTCAGATATCTCCACGCAAGGTAAGAAAAATCTACTCACATCGTACCTCTTGATGATATGGTAATTCTGGAATAAGAAAACCAGAACCGTCGATGTCAGCAAGGTAAAGTAGTTTCTGATTTTATATTCGTGTTCTCCAGTCTCTCCCATTCTGAAAACCCTAATTCTCAGATAGATATTGTTTTCAAAACCCTAAACTCTATTTTATGCATACTATTTTACCATTTTGTCTTCCATTATAATTGGGAATTCTCAAATCAAATAAGGCCTTTCGTGCTTATCATTCAAGCATCGTTTGTTTGATTAAAATCAAACACAAACACGTTAGGTTAAACTCAGTTTTGAGAACTGCTTCTTTTTTCACTGCAAATTCAACCATTTCATTTACATTAACATATAGATCACTGGAAAGAAACTTATATAATACTTGTGTGCAGAAGTACCAAGTTGGTGATGCTGTCGTTGTGACTAATGGAAAGTATCGAGGACAAAAAGCACAGTATTGTGAACCTTGGTTGGTAGAGAGAAGGTACAGTGCCATCTTTTTTTTGGTTGATTAGAATGTTTGGTTGGTGGTAAAGGAAGATAAACATATAAAGAGACTTAGACATTCTTGTTACTATGATTGCTATTTGATTGTATATGTTCCTGCTCCTCCTGTTAACTCAATCCGTGATTAGATCCTGTGTGTGATTGGCATAGATGATGTTCCATATTCATTAGAGAGTTGGACACCTCATTATATTTTAGTGTCATGTTGAACAAGTAACAAGTTTCTTGATTGTTTCAACTTAATTGAATTGAATCATACATAATTGGTGGTTGTAAACTTGATTAGAACCAATTTTCCACTTGAAATTTGTCATATAATCACCAATTCTTGTATCATATAAGTGATAGAATGTTAAAACTTAGCATACAAAGTGTCACATATCTAGCATACATCACACAATCATTGTTAGGAAAGAAACTCATATCCATATGTTTGAGATTTGCAGATTCATTGCTCCTAAATTGCCTCCCAAATCACCTGGGAGTGTTGGAACTAAATCGGGGAGTGGTTTGAAGCAGCATTGATGATGAACATGTTAACAAAAAAGCTAGGAAGGATGATCCTTAGAACCAGGATCAAATGAGTCATGTGTGGTCTTTCAGAAGCAGCAAATAATGTCTGAAGCATGATTTTGTAATTGTGCTTGGAACAATTTGATTGTTATCTTTTGGCTGTTATTGACCACTATTTCTATCAATTTTAAGTAACTGAATGATGAAACATTATATCCTTTGAAAAATTACTTCTTTCTGTTAAGTGTTGCAAAATATGCTATGAAACAATTCTTCTATTGCATATTTCATCACCTGTCTTTATCAAGTAAGTGGGCATGGTATTATTGCTATTGCATCATCGGTTTCTAGAAGAATAACACCTAGGCCGATGAAAAACAAATCAAACAACCGTCAGACAAAGTGTATACAAAATTTGGAAATTTTATGTCATGACAAATGCAAAAAGTATCAAATGGGATCCATGGTGAAACTTCTGGTAACTTGGTATCAGATATAAAGCTCTTAAATATTAAGGACGGGTTCATAAAAAACTATAGAACTCAACGGTTCCAATTTCTTTGTGAAACAAATAATCCAACAAAATCAACCCGATCAACCAATTTTTGAGAGATAAATGGAGGTGTGAATAAGCACCAATGAGGGGATGATTTAGGTGTTGTTTCTTTATTTATAACTTAATGAAGTTAACGTATAACAAACTTAATGGATTCGATTATATATGATTCTTTTTTTCTTTATTTTATGTTAACAAAATATCTTAATAGGTTAAGTTAAGATAAAGGTCATTCAACCATGATTTTATAATTGGTATTCCAAAACTGTCCTTATATTTCACTACATAAAATCACCTTTCCCATTTGTTTTTTAATCTTCTTTTTCCCCCTAATAATAGATATTTCCTTTGCCGCTTTTTATGAACCAAAGAAACCTCAAATATATTCCCACAAAATTTTTTATGATATAAAACTTAACTTGAACACTGACCAAAAATTTCGACTGGGAATGCATGTACAAACTACAACCATTAGAAGTTTCGATAGAAGAATATGTTGTAATAGGTTCATGCCTGATAGAAGAATATGTTGGTGAGATGGTCGAAACTGGAACTGAAGTTGTAACGGGTGATGAAATTGGTGGTAAAGTTGTTGAAGTTTCACCATTAGAAGTTTCGATTTCAGATGAGTTGATTGTAACATCCTAAAATTTAAGACTTGATTCTTAAATTAATAAAGTAAATAAATGAAAAATGATTTATATAGTTAAATTATCAAGGGATAATCATATCATTAGTTGATATGAAGTTTAGAAAGTTATAATTGAAACTAATAATAGTTTTGAAAATCAAAGGGCCAAAAGTATCAAATTGGAAAAATAGAATGAGTTGACCAAATGGTTGACTCAGATAGTGGAAAGGACTGAAAAAGTTATATGAAGGATGGAGAATGACTCATTATGTCAAAACTTAAAGTCACAAATATTGCGGTTTAGTGGGGTTTGGCCAAATAATGTAAACTAGAGGGGCCAATTATGAAAATATTGGGAACTAAGATTCAAGCCCCCTTCATTCTTCTTCTTCAGATCATGTTTTGAAAGGGAAGAACTCCCTAATGGCGATTTTGATCTAAAGAGCTCTTAGGGTTTGAATCAAGCAAGTTTAGAAGCAATCAAAGGCTAATGAGGTATAATCTCTTCTCTATTACTCCTAAATTTCGAGTTCAATGCTTGGATAAAACTGTAGTACCCGAAATCCGAAAGGTCAAGAAAGGAAAAGAAAAACCTAAGTCAAGGGGGTTAACTCGTCGAGTCCAAGGTCAAAACTGTGATCTGGGTCGCGGCTTAAGTGACCGACTCGGCGAGTCGGGGAGATTGACACGGTGAGTCTGGTCTGGGTTGGGAAAACCCTAGTTCCGGGACTTGTACCCTATTTAAGCATCTCATTCCTCTTCTATAAGCCTCATTTGTATCTCCCATTGTCCAGAAGTTATCCCACGAAACCCTAGTGATCTTTTTGAGTGTGTGAGCCAATATTGAAGGATTTTGAGTGTTCTTGAAGCCTAGAAGGAGAAGAAGGAGTTGAGGGTTCAAGAGGAAGGTTGTGGATCCAGAAGATTCATCTCTTTTGTTGCTCATTTTGGTAACCAAGTTTCCTCCTTGTCTTGTTATTGTTAGATCACTTCATGTCCCTCTTTATGAGATTTTGGACCAAGCATGATGCATTTCGGGACTTGGACGTCCTCAAGATAGATCCCTTCAGCTCTAGGTGTGTCTTGGCCTAGAGACCCATAAAGTATCAGTTTTTGGTGTGTTGGTAAAGCAACCTTGCCCCAAGCCCTAGCCCTAGAGTGTTTTAAGCACATATCTCTTTGGTTTCACGTAAAGTTTACAACTTTACGTGAGGAATAGTCTTGGGAAGAGTAGATCTACAGTTTGGAGCCCCAGCATGGCTCGAAAAAGCCACTGTATGGATTAAGAACTGAAGCAACTCGGCGAGTCCTTCGAGTGGACTTGTCGAGTAGTATGAAGATGGGGGTAAACTCGACGAGTTGGATGAACAACTCGGTGAGTCAAGTCGCGAAACCCCAAACCCTTCGAGTTAAGACTCGGATCAGTGAGTTGAGTGGGGACTCAGTGAGTTGGACAGTGCAGGACTCGCATATCGGTAGACTCAGTGAGTCGAGTCGCAAACGAAAGGATTCTGAACGTATGAACTCGGCGAGTCAGCAAGCAGACTCGGCGAGTAGGGTTGACGTGGAAGGTTGAATTTGACCAGGACTTTGACTTTGACCAGAGTTGACTTAGTTTGGCCTCTAGGGTTCAGTTTGGAAGTAAGTGTATGTTGATATTAGTAGCTGGTGGAGCTAGTGGAGCAGCGAATCAGAGAGTTGTCGGTCAGCAGCCAGAGGATCATCAGCAAAGTTCAGCAGTGAGAGGTGAGTCTCCTCACTATTTGTATGGGTCTAAGGCACCAATTCTGACCCATTTAGATTATGTATGATAGGAAGACCCAGGGTTTAGCCTTAGGCATTATGCATGAAAGACCAGGAGGCGGCTCCTGGCACACAATATGTTATTATGTATGATAGGAAGACCCGGGGGTTAGCCCTAGGCATTATGCATGAAAGACCACAGGCGGCTCCTGGCACACACTATGTTATTATGTATGATAGGAAGACTCGAGGGTT